CCAGCATTACATTTTGTAATGGAGGCAGTCAGCTAAAAGTCAGAAAGACCTGATGCAAGCAAAACTGCCACATTCATTCTTGTGTATACTATAGACAGGAAAGTTCACATGGAGGAGAGACTCAGAAGTACCTCAGCGCAGTGGAAAAGCTTCCATCAGACCAACCAAAGCTTCTTCCCAACCACAAGATGCAAATCCACAGGAAGCCCCAAGTTAATTTAGTTCTAAGGCTACCTTATTTCCAGAAGACTCTAACTCCAAGGCAAGCACAGCTCCTGCTAGACCACTAATGACACCTATTCCTCATATAGCTCCTCTTCCACTTGTTGCAAAAGCTGAAAGTGCACGGGAAAAGAAACAAGAGACTCTGCAGAAAAGCAAGCATGGCAAACGCACCTGAATTTTACCACTGGGAATTAGCAACGGTTCTTGACTCAGACTCCTGGCAGGATGCTAGGCAACTTGCTTCAAAAACAGTTTTAAATTTTTATTTATTTATTTATTTTACATTTGTTCATTAATAATTTTCATTCATTTTACCAGTGTCTGACCTGACAATCTGGAGTCTGATTTGCAGAAAAGCTGGGCACTCACAGCTGTAGCAGAGGTCAGAAGAGCTGGGGTTGGGGCAAGAGCAATGTTCAACTCCCTTAAGTCTGACAAATTCCAATCTTGGAATCCCAAAAAAGTCAACAGCTTTTAGACTAGCTTCTCCAGCCTGTCTGCCACGGCCTGCAGAAGGGGAACTGCTGCACGCTTCCATATCACTACGATGAAGCGCAAACGACCTTACCGCTTGCCAAGCACCTGTGCTCTGATATGATGAGCACTCTGAGAAAATCGGGTGAGGATGTTAATAATTCTGGATTCAGAGCACCTTTTGAGTAGGAGGCAATAAACAGCCCTGGGCCATGCATGGAGCAAAAGGTTAAAATAAATTACTGAATAGCTGCTCATTAGCTCAGCTTCTTCTGTTACATGCATTGCATGAAGATAGCAGGCTGAGACACAATGGATGTACCTACAAGATGATTTTAATTCAATTCATCCTCGCAGGTGAAATCTCTTTGCTGTCCCCACTTACTGGGTTTTGGTTTACACAGTGGATTTTTGAAGTGCATGAGCTGAATTAATTTCAGATGAAAGTAAACTGGGAGCTGTGCTCCAGGAGAGCACCTAATCTGCCCCAACCAATTTAGTAAATCTGAGATTAAAACACAATGCAGAAGTGAGACAAACTAGGATGCTAACTTCTGGGATACTTGGCTTTAAAATTTCACTCTCTTTCAAGAATTCTTTTAATGTAGAATATCTATGTAAAGACAAATATTTTCTCAAATCTCTATTCTTCTGAGTAAAAAGTAGATGATGCCTCAGTGAATGGAAGCATCAATATTCCACACGTCTCTGTATTTTAGTTCTTCAGAAGAGTAAATTTAACCCAGATGGACTCAATGCATTAAGAATGTCTCCTAAGAAATGTAACAGTCTCCTCCGAAATTTTGGATCATAAGCCTGGCTTTGTCAGAAAGAGATGAATATCACACTGCCACACAAGCATGACTCTTGCTTCACTGACAAGCATCACTGTCTTCATATGAGTTCCATGTTCAGTAGTTTCAAAATTGCTGCTTATGCAAGACAGGATACGTCCTTCTTCCCTTTTATTTTAAATAGATTTAGCTTGTGGCAGGAGTAATGATAACTACACTGAACTTGGGCTATAATCCCACAGAGAGCGTTTCTTAATTTTCAGAATATACTATTTGGCTCACAGATGGAATTCTTTCAGTTGGAAGGTAGAAAGACTCATATATGTGATCTGAGCTGTTTGCATGATCAGACCATGCACAGGATGGAGTCAGATGAATGCTCTTCTGCAATAAAATACAGTGTTTTGGAGCATTTTTAAAATTATGACAACTGTATACAGAAGTATAAACAAAGGATATTAGGAGGTCCATTATCACTCAGAAAGCTATTTCATTCAAGAGTCAATTAGGTTCATTTGAGAGCCAAAGTGAAAAAAGAGATACAAATCTCTGAACTACACACACCTACATAAAATGTTTAAGGTTGCCAGCAAATGTGTGTCCTTCATAAACACAGTTATGTAACCCAATATTTGGTTAGTGACTCTCCCTAAAGTACTCGCTCTCTATCTTGCAATGAGAAAGACTCTGGGAATCATTAACCATCTGAAGACAACAACTAGCTGTCCCCTGTGATCCTTTGCCACAAGGCACAATTAAGGCTCCGACTCCGTAGCCAAAGAGAAATACCATTTTCTACAGTGGCTGTCTCTCCTGCGGACACTCTTCCTGCGCAGCCTGGCCCACAGATGGTTACTGCCACGTGAGCCAAGTCACTTCACTGCCTTTGATCTTAGGAACCCTGGGAAATGACAACAAATAAAATAATAGCAAAATGAAAAAGGCCTCCATAATTCAGCAAATCTGACTAAAATATGATGGGATTGGGTTTACAATTAGTGCTTCTAGACCTGTCAGCTTTTCTGCCTCCTTTTTGGAGACATAAAGTATTAACTTTCCATCAGTCAGGGAGGAGAGACACTTGGGAGCTGAGTTCACATCACCCCCTCCCGTCCGCGACAGCACCTGCCTGCCCCAGGAGTGGACCCTGCTGCTTCAGTCAATGAGCTAACAAATCCCGTTTGGTCAACAAGGCGAAGGAAGCTGCAGCTTCTCCCACAGAGACAACTTTCTCTGGGCAGCACTAACAATATATTCAGTATCCAGCCACCCCTTCAGGGGCTCTGAGGTTTTTCTCGGCAGCCTGATAAGTGTGAGACTCTCACCACACTAGGAAGGTCAGCGTCTCTATTTCTTGTTTTTCTACAGTGGAATATTAGCCTTCCAGGAGATCTAATGCCTTTTTCAACTAGCAGTCCAACAGTACATGACATGGCAGATTTTTCTATCTGTCCCAGTGTTCAATTAAAACAGCTAGCCAAAACATTTTGAAAGAAATTTGATGGAAGGTACAAAGTCGATGTATTTCTTTTAAAGGATTTATGAAAGCCTTTCATTGAAATGTCTTATTGCTTATGTCCCCTTTAGTAAGAAAAAGGTTTTGATTGGAAACAACAAACTAAGTACTTGAATAATATCTTATTTTTAAAGTAATTTAATGTTGTATATAGAAGAGAATCTCTCTCTAATCCAAATCATCATTTCAGTTTGAAGTGTCTTTAGACTACTGTAAATTCATTTCAGACACTGTAAATACTTTTCTGCCAACTACCTAGTTTTTCATAGTTTTTCCAGTGTTTCATGCGAATTTCAGTAGTTAAGTCTTTGCCCTTTAGTATGTTTTTGAGAGCTCAGAGGAAAACGCAATAATATTATATTTTTATATTTTTTTTGCATCAGCAGACAGATAGGTTAAAAGCTGCACAAGAAATAAGGTACATGCCATATGGACCTACAAAGCACGTTTGCAGATGGTGACATTTTTTGCACATTGCAGGACTCAAACTGGATCTGTAACTCAACAGAGTGTGAAAGGTCCAGGTTGCACTTCACTACACAGAGGTACCAAATGAACCAAACCAAGGAACCAGTGCACAGAACATGTGTTTAACCTGCTTTCTGTAGCTCGAAAAATGCATGATTATTACTCTCATAAAACACACAAATGCATCTGCACCATTCTTCCAAGCAGGCAAGACAACTAAAGCACAGTTAGAACAGAAAAGTTCCATCCCATCTTCTGACATTAAGAATAATTCACATCCATGAATCTCAAGCTCCCAAGGTTAGTAAAGAATCCTTGCAACTACTTTTCAGAAATACTTAGCTTAATAACTTCTTATTTTCTGACACTGTAAATAAAGTGTTACGTTAACTGAGGATCACCATTCTGAATATAGCATCATACTAGCTCTCCAGTTGTGAAGATAGTCTGCAACTTATTAGCATGAAATATTGCCCAAAATGTTACATGAAATTAAAGGCAGCACTGAAATGCAAAGCAAACTATGCAGAGGAACAAGAGCAAGATTCTTCAGGGGAGAAATAGCAGATGATGGAGAATGCACGTTGTTATTAAAATGGCAAAATATCTAGTCTGATTTTGTGGATGAACTTTACTCCCAAGTTGCTAAAATGAGCAGCGGTGCTACCAGTTTGGTAAACGGGAAAATAAGGTGTGTTCTGACTGGCAATCCAGAAAGTCCATGCACTCAAGGCCCAATGACTGGCAGCTGATATGGTAAATTTAAAAGATGCATGTGCTTTGTGCATTAAGTGCATTTTTCTCAAAGCTATTCTATTAGTAATACTCAAGTACCTTCACCAGTGAATACTCAAAATTGCACCAGCAGTTAGCTCTAAAAGCATTTATTTGCTGCCCTAAAAGCAAAATCAGAGAAAAATATGATTTTCATCAAGCCAGACAGTTGTTTCAATCATGAAAATATACACGTGGTGAATTCACTTGCCTACAATTTAAAGCACTCAGTGCAGCACCCAATAGCCAGTGGTTTCTAAAGCTTTTTAAAGCTAATTGAGTGTCATTCCCAAAGATGAACACTCCATCCTCTTTTTCAACAGAGCAATTCTATTGAACTTATAACTAAAATACAGAAAATGCTTGAAACAAGTCGAAGCATGACACACATGTTGATTTCAGTCTTTGGTATGAGCTTGTTGAAAAGATGAGTGCCAGTGTAAACACACACCAGAGTAACAACTGTCACCACTAGATTAAAGAAATCAAGAAAAAAAAATATGGAAGATTAAAGTACCTTTAAATCTTATTATTAATTGTTTATTTATTGCTACTGTTTATCTATTGCTATTTCTTTAAAAAGTGTTACATTGTGTGCCCTACCTCTATCCTCCACTAGGAGCTGTTTAAACATGGAAATTATTTGTCTCATCTTGTTCCTTTCCAGCACTTCCTAAAATCCAAACATAATTGTCTTGACGGCCTGAATGCTGCCATCAAGCTTGTCTTTTCATGCACCCATCTTTTACCTGGCTTGACTGCTTTCATTACAGCCCGTGATGACTTCAGCACCGCTTCATAAATAGCCCTCTGGTCAGGAGTGAACTTTCCATTTGCAGGGAAGGTGCAGGTGATGTCGGAGCCATAGCAGTAATACTCTCCTCCCATATCAAACAGGCTAAAAAGGAAACAGAGTGGCGAAAAGTGAAAATTGAATCCCAAAGAAATAGGAGAACAGAATACATTTCTGTTGCTCTGCACTTGAAAATCATCTCCATTTTGTTAGCTGGCCATATAATCAACACCTGAATGCTGTTCCTAAGTAAAATAAGACGGCAGTCCCCAGGAATCTCCTAGCAGAAGAGGATCTGCATTACACATGGCTTAAACAGACACCCTTACGGGCTGTGCTGATCCTGGATGGAGACACTGAGAGAACACGGGAAGAAAGACAAAAAACACATGAAGAATCTCTTTCAAGCTCTTCAGTTCCAGTTTCTAGGACCTCTTCTCAGAAAAAAAAAAACATGGTCTTTTTTCCTTTCCTGAGAAATATTAGCACCACATAAAGGGTCTAACCTCAAAACTTAATGGAGAAATGTTAGTTAAATTACGGCCTTTTGTATCTAAGTGTCAAAATGGATCTGATGGTTTAAATAAAACGTCCCTGATAAAGGTTGGCTGCAACTGCTAACAATATAAACTTTCCTTTAAGACAACTTGCCTAACAGGGATTAAAGAAACGAGTATTATGGGAAGATTCAAGCAGAGAAGAACATTTAGTACAGTTTTCTGCATCAGAGGTAAAAGAAAAAAATATTAATTGCTTTCTTTTATGGGGACAAGAAACCTGATTTACCCCTTGAGAAGCGTATTTATTCTATATATGAACCAATGATTCACCACTGATTGCTCAGCTGCCAGAAATCAATCTGCAAGAATAGCAATTGAGTCTCTACACCCTTGTGAGAACCAGGTTAGACATTTGCAATAATACGCTTTTTGAGCCTACCTGATAAGGCACTGCACTGGTTTCAGCAGGCTCAAAAATCAGCAAATAACTATCTGGACCAAACAATACTTGAGCAAATAATCCCCCTAGTTCATCATATGTTCATTACAAGAAGGCACATTTTACCTGTAAGACTTAGGTCTTGACACACAGTATTAGTATGACCTCCTGATTTTTTAGGAGCTCAGAGTTGAAATCTGCTAATTTAGGTCTTCTGCCAACCATCTCAAATAACTGTATGAGACTCTTTTAGTAAGAAATAGAACTTTTCCTTCGCTGGGTTTGAAAACCTTGGGAGTTTTCTTCCTCTTGCTTCTGCTTCCCAGCAGGATCAGTGTCTTGCCCTAACCCTTGGCAGTCAGTCAGACAACACGAGCAGACAGAAGGACACTCCACTGGGGCACGCCCTCTGCCATCGAGTCCTAATTACAGCAGTAATTAGGAAAAACGTGCAGTGCAGCTCTGTCCCCAGCCAGCATACATGACTAGATATGGGTATGTACAAGTACCACAAAACGTACTACAGCACTCAGCTGTAAATGTTCACCACTTTCGACATAATTGCCACTGAAAGCAATGGACAATACTTAAGTGAAGGCAACAGCGGAAGAGTCAAATAATATTTCAGCAGGGTTGGGACTCTTCTTGCTGCATTGCATACACACACACATATTCACAAATATTCACTCCAACAAATTTTAAAATCCACCCTGAAATTTCCTCCATGAACAAATCTCTGCAGCGACTGCAAGTCCTGCTGAAGTCATCTCCAGCCTCCCCAAACTGGGCAAGGTTCATCTGCAGAGACTCGCAGGACTGGAACTTCAGGAACAAATCCCACGGTTTGCAGATGCGGAACTGCACAAGGCTTAAAGCTACAGGAGCGAACTCCTTAGGTGAATGCTACAGAGAGAACTGTACACGTTCACTTAAATATGAAATGTGGTATCTTAAAACAGCAAGTTGCTAACTGAAAAAAAAATACACAATAGACAGCAAATTTCAGACCCACAAGGTTAAAAAAAAAAAAAAATCACTATTTGACACCAACATCGCAATTGTAAAGTGGCCTAGCCAAACCTCAAAATCAGAAACCCCAACAACTCTGCCTGGGTTTTCATCTTATGGTTAGACTCATTTCTATAAATAACTAATGATGCACAGAAAATCTAAGGATAGAGAAAAAGCTGCTACATTCTCTAATGTGCCAGCAAGATACAAATTTCAGATTACTTATAAACCTACAAACCTACCCCAGACTGAATCCTTTCAAAACCACCACTCAACATTTCATGGTGCTTTGTGGGATTTGCAGTAGTTTTGTGGCCTAACTCTGTTACATTTACAGGTGTAAGAATCCATTCAGCATGGTGATGATAAATTTGAGAGCAACAGCTTCCCAACTCCCTGTCCGCGTCTACTGGAAGTTGCTAAGCTTTCTGTATTTTTACCTGGAGAATAGTTATTCCGAACTTACCATGGGCAAAATATTAGCTATGTCTTTAACCTCACAATTATCAGCATTTTCTCAAACCCATTCATCCCTTGGTGTTTGTTAAATAGTTTTCTGAGTTACTGAAAACTGAGTAACAGAAAAAATGTATCACGAAGCTGACGGTACTCCAAAACAAGGCTCACAAGCCAGGAAGCACCATTTGTTCAGGTTTCTTGGCTTCCAGACAAGAGGAGACATGAGGGAAGATGATCTTTCAAATTCCACCTCAGAGCACAACACACCATCCAGTCTGTATGCTTCAGTGAAAAAGCATCCAAACCAAACTGTACATTTGGGAGATATTTTGGCTCTTAGTGGGAATTCTCTTCCATTTAACTTCAGTTGGGAACATATCCATTAGTTAAAATGTTGCCCAAGACATGGAAATGGCCCAAATATTGTAGTTATCCTGAGGAAATAAAGGGAGCCTGAGAAGACTGCAGTTTCATATCTTTGCTTGCCAGGCAAAATAAGTGGTGAAGCACATTTATATAAAATAAAATGCATGTGAGCTACTATCTTCTCCTATTGGCAAACTGGAAAAAGTTTCTAAAAGCAGGTTCCTCAAACCCTGGCTCCCTAGAAAAAAACCACATTTATTTTACCCTGAAATTAGATGGTAAGTGCTAGCAATTCAGGTATTATTATTAATATATTTCAGTATGTTCTCAGTTGCATGTACAAAATTACCTGCCTGAAAATTCAGTCCTACAAGGTCCATTCACAGAAACAACTGCTTAATGCTCTGTGGACTTATCAAATATAGCAGTAATCTAAACAAATTACATGCACAAATGAGAACAGGCCTTATACGCATCTTGATCTATGGCTTACCTTTTAAGAACTGTGCAATGTAGAGTAATATATGTGATAACAAAATAAAGTATGGTCAAACTCTATTATTAGATAAATAAAGTACTACATATCTGGCAGAATGTCTATGTTGTCTATTACAAAATTTAATCATGAATTCTGTTTTCTGTTGAACAAAGAAAAATTTCACCCCAGAAAAATTCTTTTTCAGCAATTACTGATTTCAGTGAATGCAGAGATGATGTGTCTGAGGATGCCCCATTTCCAAGGCATCTTGAGAAGGAAGGTGGCCAGAGAAGGAGTGTGATCAGAGAGAGGCATGCGGTTCTATGTCAAAGTTGTCACTGATTTAGCTTGAAGCTGATGATGTCTTTTATTACACAGCAAAATCTCTTTCAAAATGTTCCGAGAGAGAAGATAATCTTCCTTTGCATCACTTTGTTAGGAGCAAAAGCAACAAAAAACTACCTGGCTTCATTTCGGGGTGAAAAGTGAATCACGTATAAAGCAGATTTAACAGTCATGAGACCCGAGTACTCTCTAAAAATTCCTTGTTACTGTTTCAGTTTGTTCTCTAGAATTAGTAAGAAGCTGTATCGCAAGCAAAAGATGCATAGCAAAAATATTCCAAACTCCTTCTTGAAAACATGGGCATAGCTCTCCTAAGGGAGGCTTAAGTTCTGTGTATATATATATAATCTGTCCTCCCAAGCATATTGCATAATACTGTAAACATTGTTAAGCAAAACCGAACAATGCATAGTATGAGAAACATCAGATAGCCTGTCAGTTGCTCTACTGACAGGATGACTTGCTTACATATCATTAATACCATGTTAGTCAACAGAATAATAATTAAAAAAAGCCTTCTGAATCTATTTATAAGTCACCTTTCAAAATGACAAAGAGCATTTCATTCTTTTCACAGGTTTGAGGTCTGACACCACAACTTAAAATCATTTTCTACATAAAATGGTACCAAGTCACAAAGAAGCAGAACCACAGCACTGCAGAAAGGACTGGCCCGGTACCTCCCTCCTTACAGGAGCTTCTCAGCCCCTTCCGGCAGGTCCCTGTGCCGCTGGCAGGGGCCCTTCCACGTCCAACCAAACTGAGTTCTGCTCCCCATGCAGGAACACACAATAGGAATTCAGAGAAAATACTTCAAGTCCTATCGGCAGGTTTGTAAGTCAGTCATCGTAACTAAAACACTGCACAACATGATGCACAAATGCTCTTTTCTCCTCCCGTCCCCTTGGAACAATATGGTCAAGTAAGATGAGGCCATGTTACTTCCACAGAATACTGCATCACAAAATAGAAAATTATAGTTACATTTCTGTCTTTCAAGCCCAGAAAGATAATATGCATTTTATATCAATTTTAGCTTTCTTAACATCTCACTGTGAAGCACCATAAACACTTCATGTAACACTTTAGATTTGAAAACTGTGGATTATAAAGAACCACAGTTATTTTCTACATAAAGTCACTGTATTCCATTTTTTAAAAAATACAGCATCATCTTCCTCTAAGCATGTGTTTTACTTTTATAGGCTTGCTGACACTTTTATTGTCAAATAATTTGAAATTGCCAGGCAATGAAGCAAATTATGGCCAATATCACAATGGGAAGCAACACTTTCTTTGGGATATCTGTGCCATGTGTATGAATCGTTATGATCCAACCATCAACCCAGCCCAAAGACAAGCTCTTGCAGGCATTTCTTGGGAAGCCTACAGCTGCTCCCATGAGCTAACATGCAGAGCTGTCACCTGCCTGCTCTACAGATCTGCTTGGTCTGTACACTCAGAGAACTGGATCTCCTCACAACAGTTACCAAAAAAAAAACAACAA